CATACTCCAAAGACAGCAAGTCAGTACCAGGAGGGAAGTGCCGCTGGAGCAGATCTGAGTAAGCAGGGTTAACGATAAAGTGTTGATCAACAACACTCTGGATATGATGTAACATATTCTTGGTCCTTTCCAGAAAATCCATCTGATCAGGAAGTTCACTTCCTGATACGGGGACATACGACGGAGGAGAGGGAGCTATGGTGAGATGGCCCTCCCCAGTATTAATCCAGCGCACATTAAAAACCATCGGTAGCTTGAGGTAACGACCCAGAATAACCCCTAAAGTCAGCGCGGGGTCTGTTAACATTAAGTCAAACTTGCCATCTTGGAGCGTCTTCATAAAAACAGGGTCATCTAACATGATAGCAGCTGATCTAGCAAGGATTACATGAGCCTTTGCCATCATCGATGTCATCATGTTCTGATGGCAGAAGGTGCGTATGAAAGTCGGCAGTCTGCGGCATTCTATAACATCTTGTATCATTTTGTTGTACAAACTCTTATCCGACTCGTCCTCCAGCATGCGCACATTTATAGAAGTGTAAATCGTAGAGTTACTCGGTATGTACCAGCTTTCGGCAGAACGTAGCACAGTGATGTTGTGGCCTCTGGAGTGCAACTCTCTGAGGATCACCTCCATGTTGATCCAGTGGCTCCCATCAACTGGCACAACCAGAATCCTGCTACCACTACAACAAGTGGGCCTGAGAAAAAGGAAGCAGAGCCCTGTCAGCAATACAGGGATCATGTTGGACATTTCCTGGGAGAAACAACAGATATAAATGATTAAGACTTTTTTATTATTAGTTATTATTATTATTATCTAATTTGTGATATAGTCACACAGAAATCAGAAGACCAAGTCCACTGTATTAATTTTGTATGGAACTCGAGCGAATTGCTTTGCAAGGCATCGTGGAATTCCAGGCAATGGGGACTGACCAGCCACACAAAACAAGTTAATATTTTAGCACACCAGTTAAAACCATATAGGTTATAAAATGGCAAACAAATAAATAAACTTGTCAGTACACTGTAAAAATTATCTAGGTGGTTCAACTTAAAAACTTAAGTTCAATTGCTGCCTTAAAAATGTGAGTAAACTCAACTTTAAGAAAAGCTTTGTTTCAACTCATGATGTTACGTTATACACATTGTTTAATTAATGATAATTTGTTGTTTGAACTTAATACTGTGAGTTAAAACAACTATCTATATTACATTGTCCATTCAAGGAAACTTGCTTTCACTTGTCTAACAAACATACTATTCTACACCCTTTCAACTCACATTTTTAAGTTCAGATAACTCAACTTGAAGATTGCCTTTGTTTCAACTCATAAATTTAGGTTCATAAAGTGGATATAACTACCGTGTTCTAGTTGTCCCAATGTTAGTTAAATGAACAAGTTTGAGTTATTCTAACTCATAGTTTCAAGTTAAAGCAACTTAACGAAATTAATACTACTTTCCATTTCAAGTTAAGGGATTTAAATTCTAAATTTGTTTCAGTTTATATCTATAAAGGGCCTTGAAGACAGACCACAACAACAGCACCACTGTGCTATTATCTTCAGTGACTTGTGACGGGGCAGGGTAGCTTGCTGGTGCGCCTGTGCACGCCGCAGTCAAAGTTCAAAATAGCAGCAGATGTCACCTCCTTTCTGAAAGGGCCTTAAGGCCGTTGTCTGGAACCCTTTCCACCGGTGGCACTAGTTTTGTTTACCACAGAAGTGTCTATATTTTGGTTGGAATTTGAATATATGACTTATCTGCAGTGTATAATTAGCAGGGGTGAACAAGAACACCAAATCTTCTGCATCTGTACTCAGAATGGCCAGTGCTTAATCTATAAGTGGGCGGTATTAACTGGAAGTTATTTAAGCCTGAAATTTCTATCAGAACTTTATAGATTTATTAGAAAACCATTTACAGAACATCCTCAGAATTGAGCTTCAGAGAATATTAATTGATTTTTTTATATTCATATATTTATAGTTTATAACAAAACAGAAATTGACACATTTTACTCTGATGATACTCATAGAAAGTATCTGTACCGGATACTCGTTTTAACCGAGTACTTGCTAAACCCTAATAATTAGTTGATTATGTATATGTTTTTCTCAAACTCAAAAGACGCAGCACCTAGGCAATCCTCGTACTCTCACCTTTTTTTCAACTGATAACTTACATACGTAAGTTCAATCAACACGACAAAAGTGTCAAATAGTCCACATAATGAATTAATGCAAGTTTAACTTTCTAAAACTCATACAGTTGAGTTCAAAATCCAAAACTTCTTCAGAACTATTTGAGTTAAAAAGAAGAAGTAAGTTGACATGACTAAATGGGTCTATGATTCTTTTCAGTGTGCATTTGAGAGAGAGAGAGAGAGACAGAAAAAAGTCAGTTGTTGAAATATTCATGAATAAATGAGCCTGTTGCTTGAATATTGTAGACCTTGTTTTATTATTTTGGCAGGTGGAGAAAAAAGAAAATAATAATAATAATTGCACTTTAAACCACATTTGCAATGCAAAGTTATGACAGTGATGTAAAAAATGTCTGCAATAAGATATTGCATACACATAACACACACATCTGACCACAGGTGATGCTGGCTAAGCAGAAGAGCCTTGAAAGTAATTTGGGAGAACAATTAATGACAGCATGTTTAGAACCTGCAGAGACTAAAACTAAACTTTTATCCAACCCTATTTGTGATGCTATTTACATGTGTCTACATATTTTTGATTATTACTGTTATCCTTTGTGTATTATCCTGTTTAAAATACATATTTCATAGTCCACTGGCATTAACTTAAAATATGTTTAGTTAAAGCAGTTTCTAAGTGTTTCTTTTCGAGATTGTTCTGTTAAATTATTCATTAAATCAAATGCCTTACCTTGTTCCTATATCAAAATCCAGAGATTTGGTTGGAGCTCCAGGTCCTGATTGAGGCAGGATACTATGTGATATCTGTGTTTCCACACAAAATAACCTTTACACACACACAGGCCCTATTCTCCCAGACTAAAGTCCAGTATGTGGACTATAGGTAACTCACTGCGTGTTGTAATTTAGGTCAATGTTAAACGTATCATATAAGCAAGTATGACAGCGCATATTAAATGTGGATTTCTAATTTGAATTAACCAACAAATAGCGTTTTTTGCCAGTGTCTCAATGCAAAATTACTCATCAGTTTATCTCCTGTTCAGTTTAATTTCTTTGGATGACATTTCTTATAGATTCCTAAAAGTTTGATGCACATGACTTTATGTAGTTATGAGAAAACTTCAGGGTGAACAGGGGAAAAATCCTATTGTGGACACAGTCAGAGTGAGACGGGAGTGGCAGGGAACAAGGGTTGGAGGAAGCAGCAAGGTCACACAGTGGAGGGAAAAAAAGGGAGCATTGGTGATTACAATTACTGCACGAGTCACTGTTTAACAGTCATATCAGTGAACCGCAGCCTTCCCCTCCTCTCCTCTGCCACTGTGGGGTTACATAAACCTGAGCAAGGGAACAAGAGCTCAATGTAACTGCAGAATTCAGAGATGAATATATGCAGCTTGTAGCTCATGTGGCTCAAGCAGTTAAAGTCCATAAAGTACATAGGATTGATTTATTTTGCTTGTTCCCTTGCTTCACAGCTTAAGAAGAATCATCACAGTAAACCTGAGCAAAAAGCTAATGTTTGGCTTTATTACTGTGTAGTTAAGGGCTTCTATAACAATAATAATAATAATAATAATAATAATAGCTTTTAGTTTCAGTACAGGTAACAAAGTGCTTTACAGCAATCAATGTAAAACAAACATGTTGAATAAAAATTGGTATCAGTGGTTCGAAATAAAGGAAAAATACATTATGCATCACACATTGAAAGCTATTTTGTATAAATGAGACTTAAGAAATTAGATGGAATCAGGAATAGACTCTGTGAGCCTGATCTCCTCTAGCACGGCTATTCAATTACAAATTCAATCGAGTTGGAATTGGTACCATTAAATTTTCTTTTTTGTCTTAATGTTCGTTATACTATATCAGTTATTTTTCATTACTAGATAATTGCTTTTAAAAAAATATATTATTTAACAAAATAGGATAACAACAGTAAAGTCTGTAATGTTTGTCTCAGCCACCAGCTGAGTTTAATGTATGTGGCAAACTAAGCTAAACAGTTACTAAAGACAGGCCCTAACCTTACCCCTAAGCCTAACCCTAAGAATTAGCTATAGCCGAGCTAGCACTCTGCTTGTGTAAAACCAACAGCTGATAAAGAGCTGGGCAGATTAAAATATCGCATTCTACATGTTTATGCGTATTAAACAAGCGTGTTGGTATAGTATTGGCTTTTTACTTGCAAAGGTTTTATTGCACCACGTATGTTGTTATTGATTAGTTGTATGTTGGGCCACATGGAGGTTGCTTCTGGGCCGGATGTGGCTAATCTTAGTTACTATACACGTTATATTTCTGTTGGACTTGCAGAATCAAGTTTATCACAGTAATTATTTCGTTATCATTCATAGCACTTAAATGTTAAATTATTAGATTTTGCCAGATTCATTTTTGTAATTTTTTTCAGCAAGGCATCTGTGAAGAGTTGCAATGTTAGACTGATATAGAGCTGTGTGTCATCGGTGAAACTGGACATTGTGTTTGCAGATGATATTGCAGAGGGGGAGCATATAGTCGGATAATATTAGTTTAGAGCAATCTTCTTCTTTGCCAAAAGTGAAGAAAAAGACACATGAATGACTGGAGCAGGGATGTTGCTGGTAGAGAGAGAGAGAGAGAAAGAAAACATACACTAAATGGATTTTAAGTTTTGTTTCACATTTAGATGTCTAGAAAAAAAGATAATAAAAGCCAGCTTTATTGTTTGCTTATATTTGTTGTTTGTATGCCAGATGAAAGCTAAGAAAAAGCACAAAAAAAGGTGGTTTAATTATCAAGAAAGACAAGAAAGCAGCAGCAACAATAAAACTATTGTATTATATTTAATTACTTAAACACATTTCTTCAGATAACATATTGTTCATGATGAACAATTATAGATTGATGTTCCTTTGTACCTAGTGACATGCACAACAACAATAAAGTTGAATCTAATCTAATCTAATCTACTCATTCTAACCATCTAAGTTGAATTCTTGCCTCTGTGTCCATCCTGCAGCCATGTAACACCATATTGACCTCTAGACCTCTCTTAAGATTAAAGAAATAATAGCTTTTATTTGTAGTTTGCAAGTATGAGTTGAAATGAGTGATATTTACTTTTGTGTTAAAATTCCAAATGCCACAGTTTGATGAACAGGAGCCCAGTTGTGTTAAAAACAACACAAAAACAGTAATCTGACCAAACAGTATAAGTAGCTAGGTTCAGAGCTGACAAAGACAATTGAGGGATCCATATTTATCACGGCTAGGAACAGTGCTGATATTTTGAATTAGAACTAAAAATAGGCCTACCTCAGAGCAGGACATTTCTGAAGCTATTTCTGAAGCGTCCTACACATCCTCTCAACAAGCAGTAGAAGATTGCGTTTGAGACAGAAAGGTATCACAGTAACATGAAGTCAAATTATTTATGACACGCCATACATACATTCCAAAGGCTGTGAGACAATCTGAGGCAGGTAAAGAGAAACAAATCACAAGCATTGCATCATGTATTTAAAACAAGCTACATACACCCATATAAAGGCATACATTGTACAGTATGCTAGTAAGTATTATTTTGAGTCTGTCCTTATCTGTTACCAATTTCATTTAAAGAAAAAAAAGAAAGCTTTGAGTTGCAAAAGATACCCTATTGCTGCAGTTTATGTCTTTTTGTACTTCCAATTGAGTTTTGTCTATGGTGTCACTGAAGTTTAAAATCAATCAAAATCTTAAATCGGGTTAACATTCTATAATTACCTACGTAATGGAATGTGTGTGTATGTTTGTCTCATCTTTTGCCACATGCTGCCAAATCCTAGCAGGTTAGGGCAGCTCTGCAGATGCCATGTGCTGGAGAAGATAGGATGATATTCCTGGATTAGGAAAGTTGATAAAATTCTTTTGCATCTAAAGTCTAAATGTAGACACAAACACGCATTACTTTGAGAATTCTGGGCCATTTAGGACTGGTTTTCCAGATTAGATGTTATGTTTGGGGCTATATGTGTTGTACTGTACAGACTGCCTGATAACACTCTAAAGAAGTAAAAATAAATCAGCAGGATTTTTGGAGAACCAGGAGTCACATGACCGCGTTGGTCACGATACCCTGAGGAGCAGCTGAAATAACTGGCTGAGAAGTGACGACCCCCATCTGGGTGGTCATCATGTATTGTTGGGCACCCAGCTGTACAGGCTGGGCAGGGATGACAGTGAGCACCTGGCTACGTCGCTTGATTTCTCTGGCAATCTGGCACCAGGAGCAGGTGTTGCAGATAGTGGAGTACAAACAGTCACCTGTCATATCTCCCTGAGACACACAAAACAGAAAGACAGTAGCAGCCATAAAAAACTAAAGGAGTGAGGCATCTCTCCGAGTTCTTCCTTTTTTCAAATCTCACCTGGATTTTGTAGCGGTGACGCACTGCAACCCTCATGGACATGGAAACAGGTGGAGTGCATGATGGGATCACATCCAGCAGGGGGAGACAGAAACACTCTCCAAATTCAGAGGCAGTGTTGCATGCAAACCAAGGGAAGCACCAGGAGGCAAAGCAACCTGGAACAAGGTTCAGATGGGTTTGCAGTGACAGCAGGTCTTATCTCAAGAGGCAGTAACAGGTTAGGGTTCAAAATAGCCTGGAAGGTTTTGTTAAAGATTTCCGATTAGAACATTCTAAATTGAGAATTTGGTTTACGCATAAAAGGAAAAAACATCTCCTGACTTATTTTCTTAGTAAAGAGGCAACCACAAACCCACAAACTTGATGGAGCGCTGCTGCCGGTCCTTTACTGTATGAAAATTCAATGAGGATTATTAAGTACTCCAGTCTGACTTTGCACTTTTAAAGCAGGTTGCTGTTTATTTCCTGTGAATGTTGACCACCTTTTAATCTGGTTGTGCACAGTTTTCTGCAAAGAAGAATTAAGTTGGGCTGTAGTCCTTAGTGTTGTCTCGGACTTGACTTTAGTGGTCCTGACTACAGATCTAGATAAAGTAAAGACTCAAAATCAAGATTCAAATGTCAGTTCGACAATATTTGCATGCGCAGGTGGAAGGAATAACAAACAATAGGTGTAATGCAAATATCTGCCGTGCTGCAAAGAAAGAGACTTACAGACACTTAAATCATCGAAGCAGCCCCATATGCCTGTGCTCCACTGGTTAGACTGGGCAGCGATCAAAATCGGAGCCTGAGGCTGATTATTGTTGATGAACACATTTGTTGCCATGGTGTTCACTCAAATAAGGAAGGCCTGAAATGAAAACATTTATTTCAGATTTTTCTCATGGGAGACTTTGTACATTCATTGCACCTTTTCAAAGTTGAACTCAAGCCCAAATATCTGAACTCACTCACTGGTTCAGAACCTTTCCTTCCTTCAATTGTTCTGCGTCATGATATGGCTCATTTAAACAATGTTTACACCATTTACTCACATGTCTGGCGTGTACTATCACCTGGTGACAGCTGTTTACTATTAATCAAACCATCTGCTGAACTTCCTTGCATGCACACTGAAAAGTCATTCCTCCTTCTGATCTACAAGCCTATTGTTTTGACAGTTTCTGTGCTACAGCAAAATTCATAAACACTTACCTGATGTTGACACCTCTGCGTGGACACTGGTTTGATCACACGGAGCAAAAGCTGGCATTTAATACTTCAAGGCATGATTTAACCTCGGCAGATTTACATGTGTGGTTTGCATAGGATAGAGCGCTCAGAGATGCAATGTGTTCAAACAAACTTTGAGGTATAAGGGTTTTATTGCACTGTTAAAGAGAATACATAGTACAACTTCCTCCAACTCACATTATCACATTATGTTCTAATTGTAATACAACTTAACCAGTTATACAAGATAGTTATAGTAACAAAATATCTACAGTCAAGGTTAGCAGCTCTGTAAGAGTGTATAAAGCACAGTGTTGCTTTGAGCTTAATGCTAATACCAGCATGTAAACATGGTCACAGTGACAATGCTAACATGCTAATATTAAACAGGTAATATTTACCATGTTCACTATCTTAGTTTAGCATGTTAAAGCTGAGGTACGCAATTTATTTCAGAATCATATTTGTTATATTTGTGGGAATTCTCTTTATATCCCGATAGCAATCAATGAATAAAATGCTCTGCCACAAAAATGAATGTGTTTTACAAAATCTCTGCCTCTTGCTAGTTTCTCTAACATTGCCTAACATAGCTTTTACATGCTAACATATGAGAGAACAGAAAAAAAAAAAAATCCACAATTAAAATGTATGTTTTAATCTGTGTTAATAACCCCCCCTGACCAGAATCATCATAGTTTCTGTCATGAATTATCGATTAACATTCCAGATAGCGTGACACTGAGGATGAAGACAACCCCTGATGACAGTGATGACGATAGTGTTAATACTGAGGGTGCTGTGGTGAATTGAACCTTTATGCTCTTATCAGGCGTACATGATAACGAAGGTTATGGTTTTCTTCCTTGTTTTGATTTCTCTTGCTATTTGACACCAGGTGCACGTCCCCCAGCAGCAGGCGCACACGCAGTCATTGCAAATTGTACCCTGTGAAGACAGAGACACAGTTAGGGGTGGTTAGGTGAGGAGATAAGAGGGGTTCACATGCAACAGTTAATGGGGAAAAAAGGAAATAGTTTATGAACAGAAACACTGTTTAACAAAGAGTAGAATGAAGATTTATTTGCACAATCCTACAGCTTAATCATTGTCACAATCTACCTTAACAAATCTGGTGGAACAAAGGAACACAGTGTGCATTAACGGTTATCTAAGAACGTTCACTGTGACGAAAGGCTAAACAGGTTTAACACCGATCAGTGTTCAGATAAACAGAATTTTATGCTGGTTAACGCTTGGAAGTACTGACGCAGTAAAAGTGCAGATGATTTACACCAAAAAGCCATATCTTTGGCGTATTGACGCCGTGACCGACATGGTGATCGGAGGGATGAGCCCAAAACCGTCCAGCAGAAGTAAACATAGGCACTTCCCGGCCTCGTGTGACGTCTTACAGGTGAAACAGGGAAAACCCCAAAAGGCCAAGCAACCTAAAAAGTCACATTTATGTCTCTGAGGTCATGTCCTCATAACCTTTCAATAGACAGATTATTTTGACACTCAAGTCATATTTCAGAACTTCAGATTAGAGATTTGATGGCTCGTATTATCTGAGGATGCCGTGTAATCATGTGGAGCCTCAGGAATGGTAATGCACAGCGATGCCCAAATATTTCACCACAACCACTGATCTCCAATCTGCTATCTGTTCGAATTCTTAAACCAAGATCAGTCTGAATGATCTGCATTTTTTAACGAGAAAGAGATTTAAACAGTGGGTTCTTCGCAAGAAGTGTACTTACACACGGGCAGGTCTTGGAAGCAATCGCAGATTTCTGAGGTTGGTTGCAGCAGACATGATGAAGGGCCTGGGTTGGGTCACGGTGTTATTTTCAGTCATGACTTCAGCTTCTGACAAAAAACACAGATTACAGTAACTTAGAAGAAAAACAAAATCATTGAATTGTTGTAACTACTGAAATATTTCCAACCAATCATGCATTTTTATTAAAAATATGATCTCATTGGATATGGGAAAATGTGCCATTTACATAATCCATCTTTGTTGCATCCTCACAGTCTGGTGAAATCTATGTTGCTCTAAGTATGGTGACTGTACACATACCTCTTAGACTAATACGTCCTTTTAAAAACTGACTGGGTTATCTCAAATTCATCCATGTCCTCGTTAATGGAGTCAAATTTTGTTGAGACTGGCATATTGTACTGCACTGCACCTATTTCACTACACTACTGTTAGTAAATAAGATTTGATATTTGTTCAGCAAGTGTGTTTGTGGTTCATTTTCATAAAGTATAAAAGCAATATCTATCACCCAAACAACAAAACTGTAGCACAAGACTTGAAAATCAGACAAAGGATTTGGTAGTGTAGCGTTTTAAGACTGTGTTCCTTGAGTTTGCCACAGAAATATAAAGCTAAGGTTTTCAGTTTCTTCTGGGTCATCGAACACCTCAACTTTTCAGGAAGGAAGAAAAACAGACTTGATAGGAGGAGATCCCATCTGGAGGTTAGAGTTCAACTACAGCTGTTCATGAAAAATGTCAGAAATCCACATGTTGCAGAATTTCCAAAACAGCTACAGGATCAAGCAATCAAAACATAATTTAGCGTCCATTTGTGCTTAACAGTCAGTCATCTTACTTACCTTACTGCCCTATGTGGAAGCGGAGCAGAGTTCAGTCAAGTGATGGGTTTGCAGATCAGTGCTTCATCTTATAGACTTGCTGTAGATCAGTGAACGTGACAGGACAGCAGAGGATACATGATGTCACTGACTGGTCCGTCCAGTTTGACTTGTGTCATCACCTTTGACAGTCAGGCATCAGACAATCTGACCATCATGCGTCCTTTCAAATCCCCATGCCACAGAATCAACGTGTGCGACTCTATTCTGTGACAGAGTGATAAGAAGATAATGGAATGTGGTCCACAATGCTTACCCGCTGCGCCGTTGTGACATATGGCTCTATGCCTTTGTTTGATTGTTACAAAGTTCCTCATCACGTCCACTGAGAAGCTGTTGATTCTGCCATTTCCTTGAATTCACATCTCCGTCTTGTTTTCAGATTAACACTGCAACATTTGATGCTTTATTAGAATGAATTCAAATAATATAACACAAAATATTTGGATTTTGCATGAGGCCGGTCCAGAATCCAAGAGGGGCTGAATAGATTGAGGTAGGAAATTGAATAAAGTTTTGCAGAAGTTTTGCCAAGTGCCAGTAAGTTTCATTGTTAACATAACTAGCAGATTATTTCCTTGATTTCTAGTAAATTGATTATTGGTTTATAATACAAAATGTAAAAACATTTATTTACGTAATGTCAAGTGTTAATAGTAAAATCACTTGCTATGCTATGTGTTTGTAGTGTGTGTTTTGCTTAGATTTAAAAGTGTAGTTACCTAACTCCCCTGAATGATTTTCTTTCCTTTTTCTGTGCTCTTCTCTTTGTCTGTTCCCTGATGTAAAGTTGATGTAAATGTAGAAATTGCATGCAAGAATTTGTCTCTGTAAACATGGGGCAAGATCAAACTTGCATTTTCAAATGGAGGCTTTACTTCAGCATAAATACACGTACAACAATGTAAAAAAAATGTCATATTCTGTTATGTACTACGTTACAATTACATTCCTGCCTTGAAATTCAAGTTTTATTAGCTAATTGTACTTCAAAAATAAAATACTCATTTTGCAGAAGATTGGCCCCTGTGACTGATATATTGTTATGACATTTTCAGATTGAGGGTATCTACTCTCAACAAGGGGTCACAGGATAAGTGTGAGGGAACATGAGATGATCAACGGGAGAGGCAGGAAGAGAAAACATTGAAAAGGTTTTGCTACACAAAATCTATGTTTTTTGGTGAAACATTGAATTTTTCTCCCTTTTTGTTACTGAAACAAAATCATCTTAAAGGGGAAATCCTTTGTAGAACTGCTAACAACTTGTAGACATATGAATCATGACAAATTGCCCCAACTAGACTAGTACGTTTTAGTGAGTGGTCACAAGGCGAAAAGGCTGAGAATCACTGGTTTAATCTGTAACAGCGACTTGATGTGATGATCTTGTGTTTTTTTTTGTAAAATCTTAATCCTAGTAACAATGGCAGACGCTGTGGAGTAAAAAGTACAATATTACCCTGTGAAATGTTGTGGAGTAGAAGTACACAGTGGCGTAAGTTGGTTACTTTCTACTACTGAAATATACTGGCATGCAGAATGTATATGTGGGACACATTGTGTCCCTGCTGAATTCTCTGAGGTAACAGGGAGTGGCTGCAGATCAGAGGAAGTGTGATTAAATCAACTCCTGTACTCTGGAGGGCAGGCTGCAGCAGAGGCCAGGAGAAAGCAGCGCTGCTTGTGTCTAGACCAAGTGCGCCCCCTGCAGGGAGGTCAGAGGAGTGTATCTGGCCGAGGAGGAGGCGTGGGAGGCCGCTCTTCTCTTCAGCTCCCTGGAGATCTGGAGCCAAGATAGCGGATAGCAGCAGCATCCATACAGGCAGTCACTCCACACACTCCCCTGTAAGACACAGAGAGAGAGAGAGGCCTGAACACAGGTGGGAGGCTCGGACAAAAGGTGAACATTTGCAATTTATATGCAAAAAAAGACATTTGCTGATATAGAATGCAGCACTGCTGTTTTCCTTTGCCTGTTGTACGCACATCCTTTGTATTTGAATTTGATGGGTTAGAAAATATTCTACAGTTTACCACATTACTTTTTGTTCAGTGTAAGACAAACAAACATGTATTACAAAATACCAAATCAGGTTAATACGTCCCCAATAATCAAAGAGCAAAAAAGTAGTAATGTTGTTTAGTAAATTGTTTGTCAGTGTGACAGTAAAAATCATGTTGTTCTGTGTCAGTAAATATCCTCCCTCTGTGACTTTCTTTCAGCCAAGTCTTTGCTCTTAGCAACAGCAACCAGGATAAAGAGCTTGTCAGTAATGTCAAGATGGAAATGCTGGTGGGAGAGATTTGATAAATCAGTAAAGTCTGAGAAACACAGTTAGAAGGCAGATCCTAGTTGTTTCATGTGCAGCCTGGGCATGTGATTTCTCCTCCGCGATGCTGAGTCAGCGCCGTAACTTAGTGCCCAATCAACAGCTTCTGTCAGTTTTGATCATTTACTGGTACTTACAGCTCCATCACTGTCAAGTTGAAACGTAATGCATTTGTCATAACACATGACAAATGCATTCAGTAATATCAATTCAGCCTCATATTAGCAAAAACCGCATACATCTTCACGTACATCAAGATTTACACGCTTGTCCTAATTGAGCAACAGACCTGGGATCTGCTCAGTTCCATATTTTCTCTCTACTGCACTGCCTCCCCTGTGAATTCAGTGTGGGAGGGTGACATTAACGACTAAAATTATCACTCCACTCCCAAACATCATTACAGGTCTGGAGATTTGAATGCAACGAGCAAATTTGTGATTTAAAGTTTGCATGCAAATACAATCATACTATAATAAACATAAACAGACAAGTTCGGACTGCTATGTGGGAATGATTTGTTGCTTGATATATTGTTTTCAGATAGATGCAACCTGCTTAATTTACAGTGTGCAAACTTAAAATATGTAAAGAAGAAAAAAGCTATCAAAGCATAAAGGCAACAACAAGACAAAATATAATTAACAAGGGGCAAAATTATTAAGTAAGTCATTAAGTGAGACCAAACAAGCCTCAACTCTCAGCAGCTCTGTGAGGCTGAACAGCGGCGCTTTGAGCTAAATGCTAAAGGCAACATGTTACAACATGAAATCAAAAATCACGGATTCCTATCATTTCGTTCAGTTCAAACAATTGACTCTGACTATCTAAGCTAAACGATTGCAAAAACATTTCAAGACACAGTATTACTGAATTCATCTGTGTTTATACGGCCGCGACATTAAGTCACTTCAGTAGTTTGTTCAGTCCATGTTGCTTGTCCAAGCTGTCATGTTCAGTTCAGTACACCAGCCTATACAAGCAGTCACGTAAGGTCAATATCTCAGCAGCTTCTTGTCCACGACAGTTATCAGATTATGATCGTTTCTTTGGCTCTCTTTTAAAAAGCCTTTAACGAGGAAGTAATATGAATAACAACTGAGCTGAAAATGCTAACGCTGATGTTTAGCGGGTGTAATGTTTACCTTGTTCACCATCTTAGTTTTGCATGGTAGCATGCTAACATTTGCTAAAAAAGCGCTAACCACAAAGTACAGCAGGTAATTAGTTTTGCAGTTATTTAGATATAAACCAAAGTGTTGGACGAAGTCAAATTTTGACCTGATAATGGAGCTTGATGAAACATTATACCCATAGTTATTCCAATTCATCCTGAGGGAGACTTTAATGTCTGTACCAAATTTCATGTGGGAGGGTGACGTATCGTCACTGAGCCCTTTCACTTAAAACTTCAAATGCCAACCTCATGATGGGATCATACTCATCCCATGGGGATCATGAATGTTTAATGCAGAACTTTTCTGACAATCTATCTAATAGATGTCAAAAAAGCATAGAGGATGTACTTCCTGCGGCAGCTGAAGAAGTTCAACCAGCCAAAGACAATGACGGTGCACTTCTACATTGCCATCATTGAGTCCATCCTCACCTCCTCCATCACCATCTGCTGTGCTGCTGCCACTGCCAGGGACAAGAGAACGCTGCAGCATATCATTCGTTCCACAAAGAAGGTAACTAACTGGCTGCAGTCTTCCATCCCTCTCTGTACGCAGACCTGTACGCCTCCAGGACAGGAGGTGAGCATGAAAGATTGTTGCCGACCCCTCTCACCCCGGAACTGTGTCCGGCAGGAGGCTGTGGCCCATTAAGACCAAAACCTCATTCTAACTAACTCTCAAGCTCCCCGCCCAAACCTCCCCTCCCCCCTTTTACAATTTTACGTACTGTAAATTTTTGCACATACAAATCTGATGCACATGTAGTCTTTATTACTCTTTTATATTTTGTATATCTTGACAATTTAATTTTTTTATGTTTATACAGGTTTATGTTTAGGTTCATGTTTATTGTGACGCACCAAGTCACCAATGCAAATTCCTTGTATATGTAAACCTACTTGGCAATAATGATGATTCTAATAGTAATAATAGTTTTTAATATCTATTAATAGTAATAGATATTTCGGTCTGGACCAAAATTGGCATGCCTAGGGCCATGCCGCTAGCATGACTAAGAATACGAGTTAGTATTAGGTTCAGGTAAAAAAAAAAGTTGAAGAACATATACACATACACACAATTTGTACAGAAGGACGATCCAGAATGTTTAATGTATATTCAAAGGCCTGTAAAGTAATCTGTCTGAATCTACAGTTTTATCCTCATGATACACGCTGTTACAGCTTTGTCTCCATCCACCCATGAGAGAGTAGTTGCCGTGCTATACAAACAACCTACATGCTGGGACTTGTTTTCATAAGAACTTCTGGCACCTTCCTAGCTCATGCTCTTGCAGTATTGACAGCGATCCACGGCCCACTCCACCTCCGGAGAAGCCAACATTACCAACCACCTCCTTCTCTCCGATGGCAGTGCTCCAGCTTCTGCCTGCCTGGCCTCCAACCACTCCCACCTCCTGCCTTATCTCTCCTTCTCTTCACTTTCCCAGAAAGAATCTGCTCGGCTTATCCGACGTCAAACTCACAACTTGGCCTCGGCATGCGCTATTTGCATGTCAAACATCTGTTTTGTGTGATTCATGTGTACTGATCGGTGACAGAGACCTGATGTTTTGAGATCTGTGGTCACGAAGGCCGGTGAACGAGCGTTTAGTGTGGACAAACAGCGCTGCAGTGAAGCAGTGGGTGGCCAGTCTGAGCAGCTTACTGTATCTTAAAGGCACTAACAGGTTGTTGTTTATTTATTAAGATATTACTGGCTCTAGGGCAGATATGTTAATTTAATAAACGTGTCCTGATTTCACTGCATCCTCAGCACATTTCTAAGGTGTATCTGATGT